GTGTGTGTGTGTGTGTGTGTGTGTGTAAACTTGTGTGTGCAAGAAGCTCAGTGTCTCGTCTACAGTGATGCTCTAACAGTGATATGTCCAGCGTTACACTGTATGTTGTTAAAAACACACACAGACCTCTTTCTGTTCTTTATATCACTCTGTCATCAGCATGTTCTTATACAATGATGATTTTCTGCTCTGCAATTGATTTAAGACATGAGAAACAAGTAGAGCACCACGACAAGTGGGAATGGCGTGGAGTTGAAWATGGGTGTAGGAAAAATATCGATACGCCGATATATATCGATATTTCATTTCCCGATACTTTATTGATTTTCTAAAGCCCTGTATCGATTTTTAATTAAGGTTTAAAACGTCAACTTTCCTGCCAGCCGTTCATTTTTATGTTGTAGTTCACCCTCTGACCACTAGTTGGCAGCTGTGAGCCAGACATTTGGCTCCTCTACTCCTAAGGAGCCAGAGAGTAAGGGTAGCATTAGCATGGTGAGTAAACATTAGCTTCATGCACCGTTAGCTAAATCTGAGCAGAAAATATGGACACCCTCTGCCTTCTAAGCTGAGGTAAGTTTACCAACTGTTACTTATTAGTCAGAATGTCTGGATTTTAAGACAAATTAAAGTGTCTCGTCCAGGACGATCTTTTTCAGATTGTAGTCAGCTGTCACATTATGGAAGGCAGACAGGCAGACGTCTTAGCGCCTCGAGCTAATAGGGGGTGTTGTGTGAAATTCAGTTCCCCTGTGAAAATCTGTCCCCCCCCTGTGTCTGGAGGGCACACTGCAGCCAGAGAGGCAGATCTGATCATTTTCACAGCACTTCTGATGAATGTCTCGGTAAAAGGACTCACATCTTGTCAAGGTCACTTTCAGTTTAATCATCAGCTGCTGTTAAAAAAAAACTCTAAAATGAATAAATAAATAAAACCTGGCCTTTTTTAAATCACAGAATGAGTCCTTATCAGTCCTTTTCCAACTTTTCTCATGTTGTCTTTAGCCTCACTGTTTATCAGTCAGACACCAAACACTGTCTTCCAACACATTGTGTGTATTTATAATTTTTTATTCATGACAAGAACCAAATATTCCAGTTGTTTAAAATAATCTGTTCCCTCTCTGTAACATGGGAACAAAATAATTT